ATCTATCTATCTATCTATCTATCTATCTATCTATCTATCTATCTATCTATCTATCTATCTATTATAAGTATATATAATTTTCACATCACATTGTACATACAGGCGATCCAGATCTCACTGGGCGTGCATTTCAAAGGTTCAAAGGGCTTGAAGAAATCGCCGAGAGACGCGCGCGCGGGTCACACCACACCAGTGGCAGCTGTTACCGTCTGGCCGGCCAGTGGCTCTACGTTCTTATACCGTCTAGGCCAGCGGGGATGGATGACCAGTCCGTCTGGACAGTTCATGGTCACTACCTATTTCTAGCTATGTCCACGCTACGGACACGATCCGCCAGTGATCACCATAACGTCACATCGCGATATCGTCTCTCCTCTCCCCCCCTCTCTATCCCTCTCCCACCTCTCTCTTCCTTCTCTCCTTCTTTCTCTCTTCCTTCTCTCTTTCTTTCTCTGCCCCTCTCCCTTTCTCTTATTTCTGTTTTCCCCGTACCTCTCTTCATTTCTTTCTCATTCTCTTTCTTTCTTTTTTTCACTACTCCTCTCCCCCCCTCTCTCTCTCTCTCTTTCTCTCTCTCTCTCCCCTACCCAAAGTGTTTATTCGCGCGCATATAAAGAGAAGCATATCGTCACAATGATAGATACAATGTATTATGGAAGAAGTCAGGAAAAAAACATAGGGGAAAGCAGTAACGACCCTCCAGGGGCACCCTTCAACCCCACTCCGCCTCCCCCCCCATCCCCATATATATGGCAGTGCTTGTATTATGACCAGCAACAACTTTCGTCAAGAGCATAACATTTTTTTACCGCCCACCTACCCGTACTTCCCCAAGCGAGGCGTTTTGTCACTTGCCGTTGAACCCCAACTCCCTGCAAAATTACCAAATCACCCACGTGTGGCGATATCCCCCATGTTGGTTAGCACTGACCGAAAGGAATTTTATTTCAAGTAGAATAAAGATGTTGGGCTATTATGCAATTCCAATGAAATCGAGATTCTACACGTGCACTTGAGGCCAGAATGGTATTTATTCTACTATCCACATTATCCGATACATGACGTATCTATAATACTCATGGATACTTGTACTGTTCATGGGTTATGGAAATTCTTACCAGAACCCACAGCTCACTCACTTTATCGTTGACGTTTGTCATGGTAAGAGCGCGCGCACGTGCGTGTATGTATGTGTGTGTATGTATGTATGTATGTATGTATGTATGTATGTATGTGTGTGTGTGTGTGTGTGTGTGTGTGTGTGTGTGTGTGTGTGTGTGTGTGTGTGTGTGTGTGTGTGTGTGTGTGTGTGTGTGTTCACTCACCCGTCTCGTGTGGGTGAATATTATGTCTTTCACGAGCAGAACGCCTCTGTCTGTTTGTCTGTCTGTCTTATTTGTCTGCCATTGTATGTATATACGTGAGTGTATAAGTGTTTATGTGCGAGTGTGTATATGTGTATGCGTATGCGTTTATAAGTGATATTTACTCACCCGTCTCATGTGGGTGAGCGTGTCCTTGATGAGCAGAATGCCTCTGTCCACTAGCAGAGTGACGGTCACCTCGGAGTTGTGCTTCACCTGGCTGATCATGTTGGCCTCTGGGACTGATTTCATGTACCTGGGGACACACAAGTCACGTGGTTAGTTTATCCCACCAGACATGGTCAGTTCATGAAACTGGACATAGTCAGTTAAAAAAAAAATAGTTTGAGTAAGAGTTCTTAACGGCACTTGAAACACAAATAGATCATAATTTGTAAGTGTAACAGATTGGAGGTATCACTTGAGTGTAACGTAACAAAATAGAACAAAAACAAAAACAAAAACAAACAAACCCCCAAACAAACAAAAAGCAAACAAAGAAACAATATTATTACTACTTACCCCCCCCCCCCTCTCTCTCTCTCTCTCTCTCTCTCCCCCCCCCCCCCGCCCCCCCCCCTTTCCTGCCCCCTTTTTCGGCTGCGCCAGGGAAGATCGACCCTGATGCCACCGTTTCCGGGGTACAGCATAGAGTATTTTACAATACACGTATTATCTTTGTTACAGATTAACTTGGTATAATCGCATATAGTATTGACTACAGCTAGATTAGATTTCGTCTTGATTTTCAAAAACCAGAATTCAGCCAAATCTACCTAAATTAGAGGTTTTTTCCCCCATACATTTTTCGGAAATTCTGAACATGAGATTTATACACGACACGAAAATATACATAACAATATGCTTTGCCCTCATCCCTTTCTCATCCTTAGAATACAGTGGTAGAAATCTAGCAACGTGCAGCAAAATCTTTATTAATCTTTTATAAGTCAGCTGATGAAGCTTTTTCATACGATATTTTTCAAGGCGAAAAGTGAGGGGCACATTTTGAACAGTGGTGATTTGATCCGCCAAAACAATCGAGAAAATTTCTCATTCCAAAAGTTATTTCCCCTTTCCGCAAAACGCATTCATATTTTTTAACGCTGTGAAGTTTTTTAAATAGGAAATTTGACAAAAAATGTGAACTATAGGTACATTTCAGGTGGCGTGCTTTAGCCATATCCTGTGTGCCCATACGACATCAAGTTTAAACACGAAATTCCAGAAGCTATATCCTTCGAGAGCAT